TTCCCCTCAACCCACACGGGGATTAGTTTTCAAAAGCTCTATGTAGTGGAAATGTAACCAGAAGTAAATAGCAATGTGGATTTGTAGAAGGGAAAGGTACCAACAATACCACATACATTCCTAACTCTTTTAGAAAGCTATAGAAGTAACCAAAAAAAATCGATCTTTACTTTTGTCTCATTGACTATACGAAAGCAATTGATTGTGTGAAACATGAAGAAACAATCAAACTATTGGAATAGTTAAACATTGATGGAACAGATTTGTGAATTATAAAGAACTCGTATCTCCAAGCAATGCCGGCGTTGTGGGTAATGAACTTGCAGACAGACTGGCTGGATCTGCACCAATAGGTGGTGAATTGAAACATGACAAGGCGGATGTGGTTAAGGCCTCTTTGGGGACAAGCAACGGTATCAGTAGAGATAGAAGATTATGGCCTGGAGAGAATGAGGCATCTGAGTGTAACCAGAGGGTCTGGCTGGCTCACTACACTCAGAGAAAAGACAAGATTTGATTTGATTCAAGAACCGACATCACAGCACTCAGGGCATTCCCACAAGCGCTCCATCCCCATCTTTAGAAGCCAGATAAAAGTTGCTCCGATACTAACAGTGCCAGTAGCATTCTGATTAAACGTCCGTCTCGCCTTTCCTGAGCCTCGAGCATCTGCCAGAACATCTCCTCACCCCCCAACGGCATCAATCTCACCAGACTGTGGTGATCCATCTGCTCCTCAAGAAGAGGACGGAGCATGCATGGGAATGCACCGACTGCTGTGATTTCAATTCTTGACTCAACTCAAAGAACATGTATTGGCAGGAAACAGCAGCTACAAGAATTAATAACCAGGTGGGAACATTTCATAACAAAGAGGGCAGTAAGACAAGGATGTGATTCGCCTTCATGATACAGTGAACCTACGTTAGGCTGCAGCACAGGAACTGATAGATACGGTGGTGGTGGAAAGTGATAAAATAGGCCTCAATATAATAGAAAAACGAAAGTAATGGTGATCTCAAAGAAAAGAATAGTGCATTGGCTGCCATGTCAACGCAACCTAAAATGAGCCAGTGAATGACCCAGTGTTTAAAAAAGCAAATATGCAGAAAAGTTTTTATGTATGGTCGATTTACTCAGCAATTTGCGTAGGCGACCAACAGCATGCCCGGGGTTTACATAGCCTCTAGATAATGGGTACCAGTTAACTAACACTGGAGCAAATTGAGGAACGTCTGTTCGTACTGGTGGCAGAGCCCTTATGGTTTATAACCGATTTCGATGGTTCACATCTCCTGACTTCACCTTTTTCCATCATTTGTATTTTAAAACAGCTGGGCCGCTTTTGTACATCACTAGGGCACTACATGACGAGTTCTTGTACCACCCTCCTGAAATAATTGCAACGTGCAATTATGTTGTGATACATCTTCCCCCACACGTGACCTATGTGCCTACTATCAATTAGGACAGGCACCTGACCAGCTACGTTATATATGTCGTCGCACTTTGTGATGTTGTTCCAGAACCGCATTTTATCCATAACAGGTATGCAATGACTTCACTTCGAAGGAAGCTTAGTCCTCGCTAAGAGGGCTTTTGGGAGTCATATTTAATTTTAGAGAAAATTTTTAAAAAGCTCAACAAAATGGGGAAAAACAGAAAAAACGGAAAAAACAACAAACACGGCGGGCAGTTTTTTTAAACATAAGTGAACTACCAAAAAAAAACAAGAGGCTTTTTTGTCAAATTTCTCGGAATTTTTGTAGTAGCTTTTACCCCCCTATTTTTCCCTTTTTGTAAAATATTGTAGACTTTAAAAAAAATCAACTCTATTTCAAAATTTGCTTCAAAACAATGCAAAGGGGTTTTAAATTTCCAAGTTATTCACACAAAAAGCTTCCAAAGAAACATTAAAAATATTACAGGGGCTTTTAAGTCATGAACATGTTTTTTTTCTCCACACCGTTACCCTCAAAATTTGTCAGTTTAAAAAAAAAATAAAAAGGACACAAAAGGGCAAAAAAAACCCAAAAAATGTGAGCATAACGGACCCTCAAAAAAAAGGGGGACAAGACGGTAAAAAAAAAATCTCACAAAAGCAACGGGAGATCGACCCAAACCCAAAAAAAAACAATGGTCCCCGACATGACGCCATTCAGAGCCCATAAAAGTTTTGGGGGGACAGCAGAAGGGAGGGGGCAGTGAACCGAGCCAGCCTGGTTCCACTGTCCTGAATCCCACTGGATGATCCATTTTTGAGGAGCCGAACTGTTGGAACTATGAACCATTTTGGGATTGAATCCGCCGCCATTGCGTAACGTTCTGTGACCCCTGCCGTAGCTGTTTTTTTTAAACCACCCCCCGCTGTAAGCTGACCCCCCCCACTGGAAACGGGTTTCCCCCACCATGCCACCCCTCCCGGACACACCACTCCTGTGAAATTAAAATAGATTATTTTTCAACTAAAAAAATTTTTNTGGGTAATGAACTTGCAGATAGACTGACTGAATCTGCACCACTGGGTGGTGAATTGATAAGGCGGATGTGGTTAAGCTCCTTTGGGGACAAGCAACAGAATCAGTAGAAGTAGAAGATTATGGCCTGGAGAGAATGAGGCATCTGGCCGGCTCACTACACTCAGAGGAAAGGCAAGATTGTGACCGGTACCGTCAGTATTGCAACTCTGCTCAAGATCTGATTTGATGCAAGAACCAACATCGGGGCATTCCTATAATCGCTCCGTCTCCATCTTGAGCAGCCATCATTCTGATTAAACGTTCGTCTTACCTTTCCTCTGAGCATCTGCCAGAACCACGGCCATCTCCATTTATATCTAAAGATGGCCGTGGCCAGAACCTCTCGTCACCCCCAACTGCATCAATCACCAGATTGTGGTGATCAATCTGCCCCTCAAGAAGAGGAGTGCATGGGAATGCACCGACTGCTGTGACATCTATTCTTGACTCAACTCAAAGAACATGTATTGGCAGCAAAAAGCAGCTACAAGAATTAATAACCAGGTGGGACTTTTCAGAGCATAAAGAGGGCAGTAAGACAAGGCTGTGTACTATCACCTGATTCGCCTTCATGATACAGTGAACATAACCTACATGGTCCAACATAGGAACTGATAGACGCGGTGGTGGTGGTGGAAAGTAATAAAATGGGCCTCAGTGCGATCAATAGAAAGACGAAAGTAATGGTGATCTCAAAGAATAGTGCCTTGGCTGCCATGTCGACGCAACCTAAAATGGGCAATTTCTTAGAAGTAAAGGCGGCCGGGATGGTGATATCACAGGAAGCCAGCCATTGACCCAGTGTTTAAATTTTAAAAATGCAGAAATATGCAGAAGTTTTATGGATGGCCGATTTACTCAGCAGTATGCTTTGCCAACCGGCGTGGGCGATCAACAGCATGTATCATGACACGTGAGAAGGCTCTTAACAATCTCAATGGCGTTCGTTTCATTGCCATAAAATGCCCGGGGTTCACTCTAGGAAATGGGTACAAGTTAACACTGGAGCAAATGGAAGAACGTCGCTGTCGGCGACCAGTTTCTTAGCTGTTGGTGACAGAGCACTTATGGATTATAACCGATGACTCTGGTTCACATCTCCCGACTTCACTTGTTACTATGACCAACATTTGTATTTAAAACAGCTGGGCTGTTTTTTCTTTCCGAGGTCCAGGGAATTAAACGGATTCTTCAGTACCTCACATTAGCTTCATTATCTCCCCAGGGCTCTATATGCAAGAGTTCTTGTCCCACTGAAATAGTTCTGTTGTGATATATCTTCCACCAGACGTGACCTATGTGTCTACAATCATTTAAGACAGGTACCTGAACAGCTATCGTGTTAAGATCTGTCTCTCAGTAACTTGTCACAGACAATCCCGTGTGGCTTCCGCAGTTTATCCACTTCTTGACTAGTCCTGTTTTAGAACATGAGTGTTGCGTGTACATCCATATCACAGGTCTAGCTCATTTGCACGCAGACTTGGTTACTAGAATCTCAGGCAGATGTACTTCAGCTTTGAAGGAAGATCTCAGTCCTGGCTTACGACAGTAGGCCTATTCTTGGTGTCCCACTCACAGAGCTTTGGTAGTCAATATATTAATTCCGGAGAAATTGGACTAAAAAGCTCAACAAAATGGGGAAGCAGAAAAACGAACAAAACAACACAACGTTTCGCTCGAGAAGCATTTTTCAAACTAAGTGAACTACACAAATGTTAACTCCCAGTGTTGGATCCGGGGCAAAACAAGAACAGACCCACTGCCTACAAAAATGCATGTCGTAAGAGTCGACTATTTGGTAGCTGCCTTTGAAGTAGGAGTGCATCTGCCTGAGAGGCAAGGAACCAACAGTCTGCATTCAAGTGAATCAATCTGTAAAACTGATGCACACTCAACACTCAGGTCCTGGAGCAGGACTGCAGTTCAGGTGTGGACGAACAACCAGAACTTTCCACCAGTGTACAGCTGGTGAACGCAAAGAAGACCAACGTAACAACGAGAAGATGCTTTTAAAGCCACATCTCTCCGGAATTCCTAGTATTAGCTTGACTGCAGTCACCCCCACATATTCTCAATTTTAGTCAATATATTGTAGACTTGTAACAAAATTAAAACATTCTACTGCACAAATGTTCTGCTACAAAAGAATACAAAGGCATGTTGGAAATTGTCAAGTTTAATCACACAACAGCTTTACCAACAAGAAACATTCACAATATACTACATGGCGTCTAAATTCATGAACATTTCTTTTTTTCCCCTCATCACATCACGTTACCCTAAAATATTTCGTCAGTTTAAAAAAATATACAAAATGAGACATCTAAGAGAGGCAGAAACCTAAAAATGTGAGCATATACGGACCCTCAAAAACAGGGCTGACAATGTCGGTAAAAATATAATCTCACAAAAGACAACGTGGAGATCAGGCAAAAAAAAAAAACAATGGTCCCAGATACTGACGCCATTCATAGCCCACTAGAAGGTTGTGGGTGGCACAGCAGATAGGGAGGAGGCAGTGACACCAGAGCCAGCCTGGTTCCACTGTCCCTTGAATCCTCCACTGGATGATCCATTCTGTGAGGAGCCGTAACTGTTGGAACTACTGAAGCCATTTTGGGATTTGAATCCGCCGCCATTGCTGTAACTGTTCTGTGACCCACTGCCGTAGCTGTTTGATTTAAATCCACCACCACTGCTGTAACTGCTGCCACCACCACCACTGCTGAAACGGTTTCCACCACCACTGCCACCCCTCCAGCGACTACCACCACGTCCTGTGAATTAAACATATGTATTATTGTCAACTAGAAACCACTTAAAAATAATTACTTGAATAAAGAACATTCGCGAAGATAAGCTCAAGCTGGTACCATACCATTGTAAAAAACATCAAATTTGTTCTTGTATAAATATGTTAGGCTACGTGGAGGCGTTTTCCCCTTCACACTGAAGGGTTACTTTAAATTTAAGATACCAGGCATGTATTCAATTGAATGCTTTCATATGACTTTTTATGGATGGTATTTAGACAGCATAATAGGGTCTTCTGCTTTTTCCAATCTCTGCTGTTTAGTTTTGAGAAAATTGTTCGGAAATGTTATTTGTTATGTATAGGTAGATTAAGTGCACATTTGTTAGTGATTATATTATTGGCGTTGTGCATTAGGAATATAGAGTTCTCATATTGAAAGGGTTAATACAATTCTTACAGTACTGGAAGTTTCTCACTATCACAATGAAGAGGGAAAAAACAGACCCACTCCCAGAGTGTTTCCAGGTCAGACAAAGTGCATCTGCCAGTGTACGAGTCAGTTTCTCCAAGATAAAGTGCATCTGCCAGTGTACGAGTCGGAGTGTTTCCAAGTCAGACAACAAAGTACATCAGCCAGACAGACAAAAAACTAGCAGTGCCCATGAAAATAAACCAGACATGTAAAACCCCCAAGTCCTGGAACGAGATGGACGAACAGCTGATCAAAACAGAGTGACTACTCACCTCCTCTCATGAATCTTGAGCCCTCTTCCAACTGAAGCAACTTGGGACTGATGACCTGTTTGGCCTCCCGTAGAACATTCACAAGGTCTGGCGCCTGTTTGGCATTGCGCTGTGTAAAGAATGTGTACGCTGTCCCTGTTTTGGTGGCACGTCCCGTACGCCCAATCCTGTGCACGTAATCCTCTGAGCAGTTGGGATAATCAAAGTTGATGACAAACTTGATGTCCTCAACATCTGTCAATATTAAGACTAAGTTAGAACTCATCCTCAAGTCTCACATGTGACTGCAGGACTAAACCCACACAAAAATGTACAATATAGTCCCACTGTCACAAGTGAGAATACGATCAGAAAATATTTAATAGTGGATAAAATAGACCTACATCTATCCTAAAACTAAGTTAACTGTGTCTTAACATAGAGATAGCGTAGAAATCTCTCGATTACAGTGCCTCCCCAAGCGTTTCTACTGACTGGTGGCAATACTTGTCAGAAATTATCAGGTGGTGTGACCTTACTATCCCCCAAGCAGCAGCACTTACAATAATACCTCTCATAGAAAAAGATTTTAGATGAGACGTACTGTTAGAAAAAAAAAGAAAGAAAAAAAAATCATGTACTGTATAAATAAAAAATTAATATGTGCCTGAATGCTGCAGCTATTGCCTGTCGCCAAGCTACTACCTCTCACCACCCCAGATATAATTGCCACGCAGTACTTACGCCCGGTGTGCACTACCTGGCCAGTCCTAGGCTCCCAAGGAAGCATAAGAACTGGCGCCGGCTTCGAGATCATTAAACACGCCACTCCTTGTCAGTGCCCACAGCGATTGTGTGAGGTTCAACAAGGCAGCTCGTGGCCGTCATTCACTCCTCTTTATATCAACTAGGATTGGAAGAAAAACAAAAGAAAGTTGATTGTATGGTCTGCTGAGTTAACATGTGAAGCTCACAGCTCACACGTGTAGTTTTAAAAAAAAATATACATATGCCATAAATAAATGCTTGATATATACAAACGACTGTGACTACTGAACTTCAGCATTATTTTCTCTCAATCTTTAGCATGTGCTGGATGTCTGTCCACATGATTTGGTTTAATCTGTTAAAAAATGGCTGCATCTAAATTAACTCCCTTATTTATCCTTTCACTTCAACTTCTATGTGTAACTATAATGTATCAGTTCTTTTCGAGCACTATTTGAGGATCAGTCCCAATTACTGTTGCCTATAATTCCTTTGTAACTGTGTGTGTCAATGTTTTAAGCTTCACAGCATTTGAAAGGTATAAGTATAACCAGAATAAGTGCTATAAATCAATGGTCAATCTATTTTGGGTTCAGTTTAAATGCAAATGAGCACTGATCTAGTAGTCTGCTTTACATACAGTATACCAAGGCACAAGAAAGTGGTATGAAGATACATGGCAGCTATCCCTCATGGTGTATTGACCAAGCACCTGTAAGTCAACTTCTAGATATGTTCAAGAACGTTGGGTGCAACGGGTCTTACTTCTCAGGAAACCCCTAATTAGTCCAACATTGGATAGGTGGTGGGTTACCATGCCACTCGATGCTTTTTTTAGTCCTATACCTGTTTGGTGTTACATTTCTGCACATATTTTTAAATACACATTTATAAAGTTTTACATGCTGTTGTTAAAAAAATGAATTGTTAGAATTAAAACATGATCCATCTCGTCTATTATCCATCAGGCAGTGCGGTAACATTTTTACAGCATTGTAAGTATGCAGGACAGATAATGACATTATGATGCAATCAACACTAGCTTTATCTTCAGATCAACCTACCTAGACCTCGTGATGCAACGTCTGTGGCAATCAATATAGGATTTCTGCATTACGAAAGTCTGCAACAACAAAAAAATTATTGTGTACACAATAATATGCATTTCAATAATTACACGTCCAAAATATGTTTTAAAACAAGCAAAGAAAAATGACACCTAAGGGAAGTGTTCAACATATGCACAATAATTAGCTTACACCACATGCTGACCATTTCACCTACCCTAAACTGGGGATGCTCCCTTCAAAGACGCAACTAACAGTAACTGTCAGCGTGCAAAGAAGCCATAGGATGGCACATGGAAACTTCAAGCTCTGGTACAAGAGCAGTTTACCAATGGGGAACAAGACGAATCTGCAATCAGTTCTGTGTGCTACAGCATTATACAAGAGCTTTGCCACAACACTACCTTACTAATTAGTGACATTGCGACCTGACAATTTTATCAAGATATTACTTACCATTCAGTGCCCAATCTCTTTCTTGCTGTGATTTATCTCCGTGAATGCTTATGACTGGCCATCTATTGTGGAGGCGGAAAAAGGATTGTAAGGCGAATTTAAATATAACTGACATTTTATCTGTACATTAAAAACATTGAAAATATAAACAAGAATGCATGGAGCACTTTCTTATGAGTCTAATGTATGAGTGCTCCGTTCTACCCCTAACTCAAGAAGAGTTCGATCCTATCGCAGTGCATGAATTTTGTTGCACCTGCGATACCTTAAAATAGTTGATATTTTTTTTTTGTTGCTCCCAGTGGTTGCCTGGGCAGCGCCGCTAGGTTACTTTTTTTTTTAAATTTTTCAAACTGCGCAAGAATACACACATGCGACCCATCTACCTGGTACCTCCGGCACTCGAGGCATTGGGTTTTTTCTGAAGGGCTAGAAAAATCAGATTGTTTACTGGGATAAATATTTTCAGGATACAATACAAACTCAGTCTTGGAAGAGTTGAATTTGCAGATCAAGATGAAATAAAGAGTTCACTATTTGTCACAAGCCACTTACCCGTCTCTCTTCATTCTCTTGGCTATATCGTCCGCCTTGCGTTTTGTGTCCACAAATATAATTGTCTTGTTCTCCTTCTCCTGCATGATCTCATTCAACAACTTCACTAATCTGAAACCAAAGATAACAGTTGTTTACAATACACATTAACAAGAACTAAAAATATAAAGACAGAAGAAGTAGTCAGATCCCCAAGACTAGCCAATCTATGTTACTTCTAGGGATATATTTCTTCTTCCATCTGAAGATGTAATTACATTATGTCTGTGCCGTCATGTGTCTCAGGTCCCACATCAGGCCAGTACAGAGAAGCCATGAAATGCTGATCAGCCGTCTAGCCATGAGAAGCATTGACCGCAAAAATCCATAAATGAAAAGCTGATCTGATCAGGCTAGTCGAAAAGGCAGTAAAAATACAGCTCACTTGCCAACACACAATTTACCTCTTCGGAAAGCATGCTCAAGTAAAAATCATTCCAGAGTTCACTAAATCACCAGAGACTGAGAAATTATATAACCCGACAGTAGGAACACCATTGCACTAAGAAGCAGAAGGTGATTTAAAGTACTACACCTAAGATTTAGTGGTTGCTTAAACTTAAGAACAGATGCCATCACAGGCATTATACATCGACACAGGTGCCTCTGTTCCTGTCTCCAGAAAGCAAAAATTAAATGTCATGATGATAAGTAATCTACGAGCCGTGTTTCAATAATAGCGCAGACTTACTTCTCCTCCTTCTCATGATCCTGGCAGACGTCAACAATCTGCAGGATGCTGTGGTTGGCTGTCAGCTGCAGAGAGCCTGTGTTCACCTGGATGTAGTCGTTCAAGAATTCCTCTGCCAGCTGACGAACTTCCTTGGGCCACGTGGCACTCCACATCAATGTCTGGCGATCAGGCTGAGAACAAGCCACACAGTAAATTTTTATTATATAACATTAATATTTCATATATATATATATATATATTTTTCATGACGCTTCAATTTATCACAACACCAAAAATTTATTTCCAGGTGTAAAGCTGCAAAAGATGTGAAGAGTAGATCATCATCACAGATAATTTCTCTCAGTCTGTCTTTTCTACCGGTGATCTTTACAGTCGTCACGATATTTTCCGTGCTACTTTCCTCATCACATAACCAGAAAACCTTTTCTCACTGCTGTATAAAATGTTCTACCTTCCCAGGATTCAATGTTAGTAATTTTGGCAGTCCAAGGTATTAACATTCTTCTCAAGAATCACATCTCAGTTGCCTCTAAATTTAACTAAAAACATAACTTGCAACAGATACCTACCCTGATCTGTTCTAGAATCTTCCTAATCTGAGGTTCGAACCCCATGTCCAACATCCTGTCAGCTTCATCCAAGACAAGGTATGTGGTGCGCCTGAGGTTGGTTTTACCTGCAGCTAGAAAATCAATCAAGCGACCAGGAGTTGCAATGCAAATTTCAGCACCTGTGAGAAAAAGAAAAGAAAAATTTTTAGCTTTCATATTAGGACTCCCCTGTGTGGGTTCCGGGGTCCCATTGTGGGGAAAACAAGAATAGACCCACTGCCTCCCCAAAAGCATGTCGTAAGAGCCGACTTATTGGGGAGCTTCCTTTGAAGTCTTGAGTGAATCTGCCGGAGAGGCAAGTAACCAACAGTCTGTATTCAAGAAAATGGGATCTTTAAAACTGATGCACACTTTCCGCCAGAGTGTACAGCTGGTAAACGCGAAGAAGAAGATAAGACTAGCCATTCAATTTTTGCAACTTTCGACCGAGACAAACATTTAATTGCTGACATTTGCAGGGTTGGCATCGATATGACAACGTAATTACTGAGTAATCTTTGCTTCCTTCGTTAGTGTTAAATTATCTACTGCTATGTCTAGTATAACTGCAATATCCATGCAGGTATATTTTCCCTACAGCGTTTTTGCATGGCATTCTGATCGCTGTTGTGTGCCCTAATGCTGGTTGACTCAAAATTCAGCATCTTTTTACTACCAAGTTTAACATTACCACACAATTCTCAGTTTCCATGTAAGGCACTTTAAAAAAAAAAATTTTACATGACGCCTTAAACTGTCCTAGTGCAACACAATTTCTTAACTGGAAGTTCTTTTAGCTTTCTAATCCAAAGGTAGTATGTCATTCAGGTAGACAAGTCCAGAGCAACTATGCAATGTTGGACTTCCCTCAATAAAAGACAAAAGGATGATTTACCTCTTTCAAGATCCCGGAGCTGTGGTCCTTTAGGAGATCCACCATAGACACAAGCTGTCCGCAGCTGGGAGACTCTGCCAAACTCATTAGCAACCTCTAAGACTTGCTGGGCCAGCTCTCTGGTGGGTACTAGTACAAGCACCTGACAGAAAACATTATACATGAAAGATATTATTAGGACTATACTAAAACACATCAAATAACCAAAGGTGTTTCTTGGGTCACACCCACTTCTTTCTTCATAAGCACCTACATCAGGTTGATCGTTGGGATATGAGGACTACATTCAAATGTAAATCTCTACTTATCCAGGAATTTTTGTTTTCAGCGCTAAATTCGCTGGCAGATTTCGAATTAATACTGCTGATTTAGTTTTCGTTAAGACATGATAAAAAATAAATAGGCTGAATATGCGTCAACAGAAATTATCAAAAAATTCACTGAAAACGTCTGTATCGGCCATGCGCGCAGCCATCTTAGAATAAAAACATCTAGATGCAAGTTTAAAAAACGGTGGGAGCATCAGCCGGTGGACTGTGTCACAAATTGAACGATCGACGAAGTTAGTAACGTGTTAAAAGCACATAAAACTGGGTTGACAGACATGGCCAATAATACTTGTGCTCTAGCGGAAAGTCATAGTTGTTTGTATATTTGGACTTCTAGCAAACATCCGTTTTACTGACTTATTTGTGCGCAGTTCCTTACCCAGTCAGTTGACTGCACCTTCCCCCCATGAGGTCCTGTTATGTTAGTAAAAGCAAAGCTCCCTTCCAATCCTGTAAACTAGTTCAGGACAATCTTAAACTCAGACTTGTTCATGTCAGCGAATACTGCTAGGATAATGCAAGAATACTTACAATGGGTCCATCACCATGTTCCAGATAAGGCTGGTGGTTTACATGAACAATACCAGGCAGCATGAACTGTTGATAACAAAAAACAAAAAAATCTCATTTATAGACACACAAGCTACATTAAAACAATACATGTCTAGGATACAAGGTTCTAGACAATGTGCTAGGGAGCTACAATGACAATACTTTACTCACGAGCATACTTATTCTAGAAGGGGATAATTATACAAATCACCAAACATAAGATGTAAAAACACATGATGATTGGTAAATAACAAAACAATGTTTCGTGCTTGTATACCCTTCTATGCCATTAGGATGAAAGGAAAGTTTGCACGTATGATTTGCTATAGCATTTTACTGGATAAGCATTACTAACCGTTAGCAATGCAGATATCCCAATGCATTCAATGACACTTGACTGATGCTTGAATAATCCACAAAAAAATGTTATACTATAAAGATGTTTAATTCTCAAGACTAGAGATCAATTTGCTTAAACTACAAAAAGCCTCGATTACAAGTAGTCTTGTCTGTGGAGGTGACGGCTTAACAAAGCAATGATCTGACCAGACACACAACTTTCCCCACGCGTGCTTACTAATTTTATTAGAATCATTTTTATAAATAAAAGGAATGGATTAATTCAAAGAAAATAGTTGACTGAGAAATTCGTGTCCGGTAGGAATCATGTTCTATTTTTGTGCCTACAGGGAATAAACAACTGGCCTGCTGGCAGGGCCTCGGTTTGTACAGGAAATGACCGGGCCGATATTTCTATATCAGCCAGGATGAGAGGATGATTCAGAAAATGAAAAAGTCAGCAACACTAAAAAAAAACCAGGTAGCCAAAGAAGACTAGTTAACTAACAGAGAAATAGTGCTAATTATCAGTTGATACACACATAAAGATAGGATCTAGGCACTCAATGATTTGTCTAGTGTGTAGATAGCCTATTAATAAAGGCAGAGGGGAACCTAGAAGACGAATTAAAGGATTCACTGATAGCTTAAGACCCCACAGCAACCAAACTCACTGGTGACTCCTGTGTTATAGGACATGACAGTGAACACACAATTTACCCCTAGAGTTTTGCCAGATCCAGTCTGTGCAATTCCAACCAAGTTCCTCCCAGACAAGGCAATGGGCCAGGCCTGGCTTTGTATAGATGTGGGTGCCAACCAGCTGTTTCTCTTGATCTGACTCATCACATAGTCTGCAAATGACATTACATTTTATTATATGACATAATGACAACCCCTTTAGTACTCTAAAAATTATTTTATAAACTATTTATATTTATTCTAAACATTTAAAAAAGATGGGACTCAAAAACAAATAGTTTAGAAATTTCATGTGCAACCATCAGACTTCAGCAAAGTTCTGCAAAAACTGCCATGGGTTACGTAAAAATTTCCAAGACAGCGGTGGTCTTGATATTCTTTGCCTTCGCCCCCCTCCCCTCCAAAAAACAGGTATCTTTTGTTATACGCTCTGAAACTGAGCTTACATGCGCTGCAATTTAGCATACAGTGGGTGTTTCTGAAACACTAGGCTTTGCATAAAACAAATTATGACAAATGCTGCTTACCTGGGAAATTACCCTCCTCAAATGTGAAGATTGGGTTAGGAACATCAGGTCCGACAATGGTGATTTGCTTGTCCTTGTGAAACATTCTGATTTCCTCCTGTAAGCCAAATAGTAATACAAGTGTGATAACATGTGATGTGTGAAGAAAAAAAAAAACTTTAAAAAATCAAAAAAGATTTACACACGGCTCTCTAAAATCTAAGCAGTTTTAAATCCCTCTAAAAAAAAATTAGACCAGGCTGGTAACTGAGCTATTATTTTAGACAAATAAGAAGACACCCTCCCCCATACTATGGCTATCTTTTTTTCTTCTTACGCGTTCAACTTCAGTCCTGTCTGGGTCACAAATAGAATTTTGAGTTTAAGGTTGCCACTGATCTCCAACACCTTCTCTTGCAATGTAGCTACCTTGGGCCAGCTCCACAATCTTTGCTGGAAGAAGTTACAGCAGTACTTACTCGGGGGTCTGATTCTTCCATGCATATCCTGTGCAGGTGTGCTCAAAGACCAGTGTCCTGTCCAAAGCCTTAAAATTGATGTCTCTTCTTTCCTGTAAGTTTATGCTTATATGGGCATCAATACTGTGTATCACTCTTATTTCTCAAATCAATCTTTTCTATAATCTGTCTAGAATGGTGTGATAAGTCTTCACTAATCCTGATAGAATGTCACACTGCAAAAAGCCTTTAATCTGCAAAAATTACATTGTCTAAATCCACAAATTTTGTTAAATTAATCTGCTCAGTGTCTATTTCACATGCATATAGATGACTCCGCCTAAAATTTCATTTGATAAGATCTAGCAGTTTTTGACATGTCATATCAAGCTTTCACTTAGAAATGTGTTACTGCTGGATTGGAGTTTATAAGATTAGCCATGGCTTTGTTTGTTTTAAAAACATGCAAACCATAAAACCTACTGTAGCCATGAAAATCTTCCAAGGTCTATGCTATCAGGTTAAATCAATTACAAGGTGACTCCTTTGTTTAAAAAAAATGAAGACTTTTTGGGTGTAATTTCTGCATTTACTCAACACACAAAACCACTTACCGGAGATCTGTTGGTTACGGCTGGGTGCTCCTGATAGAAGTTCTTTTCAAACTTCTGCAGGGTAGACATGTCCCACTTGGGTTTCCTCATTTTCTCTCCAGCCTCAGATCCAAAAGATCCACCGAAGCCACCCCGGCCTTTAAAGCCGCCATCACGAGAACCCCCATATCTGAAATAGATTACCAGAATGCATGAGAGGCATTATTTAAGAATAAATTTAGGCGGGTAAAGTAACCACATTTGTTAAGACATTTTGAATTTACATGTAAAGACGGTAAAGAGTTATGCTTCTCGTCTGGTTTAATAGTTTTTTTTTAAACCCTTTTCACAACAAAACAACAGCTACAAGATTTGGTAGGGTAATCCACAGACCATCTATTTCATAGTAAAGGCGGCTAGTGTTAAATTGATAATGACTTCTACAAAGCCTAACCATTTAACATGGAACAGTCTAGGGATTTCCTCACCAAATCTCTAAGAAGATTTACAGCAAAGCTTTCTAATATGTCTTTTTGATTAGGAACAATTATTCACGGGCACAGCATTCCCGTCTTGCTTCAATCCCTAACTTCTAGTGACATTTAAGGTGCTACTTGGTTATTCAGATATAAATTTCTTCTCTTGCCCGAACAGATTTAAAAAACTTAAAGAATGAATGACAAAATTGAATGACTAGATAACCATCAGCCTATGGTACACCATTATACCTATGGTTTACATACTTTCATCCGATGTGGATGACCTGGCTGTTAATTTGCCATATTTAGATTATGTACGGAGGCCTGAGTTTTGCATTTACATTCGTACTGGCTTATGTGTCAAGTTTGTTCATTTTTAAAGAAGCAAAAAATACGACTTCATGGATGCCCCCTAAAAAAGTAGGTCTGTTCTTTTTCCCACAATGGGGCCCCATAGAAAATACAAGTGTGCACGCCCAGCCTCATTCTAAAAAATGTCTGGCGAAGAAAAGTGGCCCCAACAAATAAGGGGCCTTCAAATGATTCTTTTTCCCACAATGGGGCCCCATAGAAAATACAAGTGTGCACGCCCAGCCTCATTCTAAAAAATGTCTGGCGAAGAAAAGTGGCCCCAACAAATAAGGGGCCTTCAAATGTGAGAGGTTTGGAATATCCAAAGAATAAATGCAGTAAAGATGAAGGAAAAAAGGTATAAAACAGGAAAATTGTGAACGTCAAAAAAGAATTCACTAAAGTTATGAAATAAATTCAAAATGTCCACCTTTTATCCATAATCTCAAGTTAGTAGCACAATTTATCGAACATAAATCAGTCTAAATCAAGTTTTTTTTTTTTTGCTTCTGCGAGCTGATATAACAAAATGTCATATAGTGATGATACAGACACAGGCTCTCACTTAAATTAGAAGTTGATAATGGTCAAATTACTACAGAACTGTTTTTAATATGTGTGTGTGGGGGGGGGGGGGAGACAATAATAAAAGGGGGGGGGGGGAGAAATAGCCTTACCAAAAAGCTATGCAATTTTAAACATTTGACAGGGTAAGTGATTGTGATCCATACAGCTAGTAACGACATACACTTCTTTTACAATGTGGCCCAGTCAGTAACCTATTTGAGAAGTAGGGATGAGGGTCATAGACATGTGGGCCCCACGTGGATCGATAGTTGATAAAAACGTTAATTTATACGTGACAACTACATTTCTTATAATAAAATATATGATCATTACTATATTCTGTCGATGAATTTCACATTTCTAACGTGGAATAGAATTAAGACTGATTTAAATTAATTGTCACTTTTTAATAGGGCCACTCCTTCAAAACTGCCATTCATTCATTTTTTCGGGCAATTAAAATTACTCTGTGATATCTACCATCACTTATAACACAGTCAACAAATAGCATTAACTAGAGAAATAAAAATCCGTAACTTTTTTGAATTCAAGCCGGCTCAATGCTCATTCTTGTAAAAATAATTTTACATTGCTGACACAAAGAGAAAAATGGCCAACAAGATGGCTAACGATAAACGGTGGGAACATCGAAAAGCAGATATCTTTTAAAAATAAACAATATCATAGACTTAAAACATTCTTACCCGCTACCGCGTCTGTCTCTTGAATCAAACCGTCCTTTATGCGACATTGTGTGAGTCTTAGTTTGTTGAAGCTGGTGGCTAAAGTAATGTATGTCTGACTTGACGGTAGGATTCACTTGTAGTAGACACGTGAAGATTCTCGCCGGCCCGGATGTCGCCCTGTTGCGGATTAATCTACTCAAAGTGCCCGGATGCAATTAACATAAAATATTAAACACTGAGATATCTTCTTTAAAATAAAAAATAATATTGACAATATGTTTTTAAAACGGAAATTACATATTAAATTATAGTTACTACATAAAACTATATCATAATTGTGAGTAAAAAGTCGCTGGTCTTGAGAACTATTTAGATGTCGCAATCGCCAATAATAGTCATGACATCAATATTTTGTTTCCGGCGGCGCGTGGAAGCGGGACTATTATTGGTTTGTGACGCAGACAGTCGTGGGGTCACAGCTAAAGTAGGGTACAGTGTGGGACAGTGGGAGCAAACGTGGTTACATAAATCAAATATGGAATGATTTATGCCTTATTAAGATGATCGTTTCGAAATTACCATCAGTTCTGGTGTTGTTTTAGATAATGTAAAAGAAAATACGAATGTTAAAAGGCTGTTCTGATAGATTAGTCACCAGAATGTGAACATGCTGTCATGTCATTGTAAACAGCACAATCATACTCCCACCCACAGATTTGTTCCCACGTGTTAATAAGATTAGACTCCAATAAATAGTCGTCTGTGTTACCTTGCCAAGCCACTGCATTTTCTTTCTCTTTACTATTTAAAAATAAAGTGTCTTCGTTCGTTCTTTTGTCTGTATATGTATCCATCTCCAATCTTTTTTAATCAAGACGTATCGACCATCAGTAACAATAACCGTATCACTGTTTGATGTTTCATAATACAAACTCGGGAACATGTAACGAACTCAGGCCCAGCTACACATTTATGAATGACGAGGTCGGGCCAGGACACTGTGATTAGTTGTTCATTCATGCGTGGTAACCAGTCGTCAACGACAGGTCAGCTGGGCCTGAGTTCGCTATTAGTTCCCTCACTCGGAATCAAACCTCAATTTCATGAACATTAGTTGTTCGGTATGGGTTTCGCCTCCACACACATAAATGAAACACCAAAACAAACAGCAAAGTGTGTCTTACTGTAACGTTCAGTGTTTGCTAGTCAGAAGAAATGTAATTAACGGTAGCAAAGCTACTCAGTTTTATTTGTATGCGAACAATTACAGAAGCTAGTAATATAAATTGGAAGAGATCAAGAATCTGAATGACTGACGTTCGTCCCCACCAGGAGGTTACACTAAGCGATAAACACCCGGGGACACAAAGTGCCACCACTCGGATAAGAATCCCCGGTGACAGGTCCCACCCCGTTCAACCCATGGGTTTGGTTATATTAGGGACCCCGGCAACAATTAGGTTGGGGTTTTAAAACAACACAAAATTGTGTCCAACACTGGGACGTAGTAGTATGCAAAATCAACCTAGAAGCCGACAAAAGATTTAAGTAACAACACACACCAAATGCGCAAGATACAGGGAACACATTTCAATCAAGCAGCATTGTGTTTAGACATAAGCTAACTACAGCTAGGAGACTCAACAAATTCATATTTTGTGTTTAAAAAATGCATTTTCCTTAAATAGAGCCTTTAAGAGGATTAAACAATATATAATTTGTGTGATTTTGCAGACACATTCTTTAGTGTTTATTTTACTACAAATTAACCATCAGTATATTTCCATCATAACGGAGATAAGAAACAGAATAGGATAGGCAAAAACTGCATTTTATAAAATGAAGAACATCTTGTGCAATATATCCTTGTAATTGAGAGTTAGAAAAATAATTCTTGCTTGCTACATACATCCAGTTTTAACATATGGCTGTGAATCCTGGACAAACGGTAGGCAGGCCAAACAATTTCTTGAGGCCTCAGAGATGTGGTTTTACAGAATAATGCTTAGAATACCTTGGACAGCCAAAAAGAGCAACCAAGAGGTTTTTAAAGAGCGGGAGCCCGAAGACAACTTATCACAGACATCAGAAGGAGACATCATTTTTCGGCCATCTTATGAGAAAAGGGAAAATAGAACAATCAGCACAAAGAGACAACTTATTCAAAGCATATTTATTCCAACTCTGTGCTACCAGTGCCAGACATGGTCACTCACAACAAACCATAAAAGAAAATTAGTAACCACGGAAATGAGATGTCTGAGAAGGGCTGTAGGAGTGACCATAAGAGATAAGATCAGGAATGAGATCATAAGAGAACAAGTCGGCACAGAACCAATTCTGGATTACATACAAAGACAGCAAGTGAAATGGTTTGCCCACTTAGAGAGAATGCCTTGTGACACCATACCATACAAAGCATACATGGAAAGAGAAGAAGGACGTAGAGCACGGGGTAGACCAAGAACAAGATTGAAGGATAACATCAGAGAAACTCTACAACAGCACAATGTGCCTATGGTCGAGGCAGCCAGAAGAGCTAGAAACAGAACCTTATATCTCCCTCGACACCCACAGCGGTAAAAGAGGAAGTGAAGAAGAAGAAGAAGAACATGTTGTGACCACAGGAAAGATCTGTGGAAGGAAGGATAGAGGAAGACAACGAGAGAAGATGCTTGACAGTCTTGTTGCATGGCATGGAGGTGTGCCGGCACACGAACTGATACATGCTGCAAGAGATCGTGGATTATGGAGAGGCATGATCGCCCACGCCAGTCGGCAAGGTACCTGATGATGATATTTCCTTAATCCATATTATTAAAAGTGAGTGAGAAACAACAATGACATTCATAATCTGTTTAAATCACCTTTTATCGTTGGTATCATCTAACAGACTGAAATGGTTGGGGCATATTGAAAGAATGTCAGATGACAGAGAAGTGAAAACTGTATACACTTAGGAAATGAATGGTCGTAGACCACGAGGCAGACCAAGAAGACGATGGAGAGGTAATGTCCAGACAGACCGGCAAACACTTAGTGTCACCAACTGGAAAAAGAAGGCCAGCCAGAGAGATGAATGGAGGCCGGTGATATCTGCAGCAATGAACCTCAAGGGCTCGGAATGCTGAAGTAGGCCAGCCAGAGAGATTAATGGAGGCCGGTGATATCTGCAGCAATGAACCTCAAGGGCTCGGAATGCTGAAGTAGGCCAGCCAGAGAGATGAATGGAGGCCGGTGATATCTGCAGCAATGAACCTCAAGGGCTCGGAATGCTGAAGTAGGCCAGCCAGAGAGATGAATGGAGGCCGGTGATATCTGCAGCAATGAACCTCAAGGACTCGGAATGCTGAAGTAGGCCAGCCAGAGAGATGAATGGAGGCCGGTGATATCTGCAGCAATGAACCTCAAGGACTCGGAATGCTGAAGAAGACTATTATTAAGAGCTATTTATATATATATTTAAAGTTTTCTGAGATTAGTTGGTGTCATTTGTTTGTTGTTTGTTTACCTTCACTGTCTGTAAACACAGGCGGAAAGCCTGTTTGTTTGTCTATTCCTAGACTTTGGCTTATTCCAGGACCTGATTTTTGCGTGTGCATCAGTTTTACATATCTTGCTTATTTATATGCAGACTGCTGGTTCCTTGCCTCTCAGGCAGATGCACTCCGACTATGAAGTAAGCCCCCCGATTAGTTTACTCTTACGACATGCTTGCTGGGAAGGCAGTGAGTCTATTCTTATTTTCCCGACAATGGGACCCCCCGCAACCCACAAGGGGAGGTGTCATTTAAAATAATATGTGCCTCAGTTTAAATCCGGCCTTGAAAGATTATTCATTACTGATTTAAGAATCGACATCATGGCATGCCGTGCATACCAACAGTCTGCCGCAGGAAATGTCTCAATATGTGCAGTGTACTTCTTTTTGGATCAGCTCATGCAACCTGCTATGCACATTGACGGATAATTCAACAAAGCGACCTTGTACACGAACAAACATCGAGAACACCAAACTGATGTCAATAAATGTTTGTTTTTAGTTCCAGCTATGTTCTCCTTAGTCAATGAGCCAGAGGTTTGATGTCTAGGTACACAGGATGCTTGAGAATAGTTGAATATATGCATTGTGTCCGTGAAGTCATTATGCACTTTTAACGTCCTCAGTCGTGTGTGGAAAGAACTTCAATATTGTTTAGATGTGTGTAGAGCAACAAATAGAAGCCACATCGAACTGCACTGAATAGGCACGAAATTTAGAGGTTTTCCTTTCATTTAGTGATGATTTCGCATTTCTATCTTGTTTCGTTGATTTCCTGTGATCGGTCAAAAGTGCACTATGACTTTACGGACACACGGTATGTACATGTTTATCAACTGGTGAAAGTTCTTCTTCTTTTCTTTTTCTTCTTCTTCTTCTTCTTCTTCTTCTTCTTCTTCTTCTTCTTCTTCTTCTTCTTCTTCTTCTTTGTGTTCACTGGCTTTCAAATCTAGAGGAAACCCAGCTGCGGACCTTGCTTTGGTTTCGTCAGTGGTATCGAGAAGCCGACCGTGCAGTAAGAAATGGCAAACTACTTATAAATTTGCCTTAAAAAACACAACAGCTAAAAAATGCTGGGGTTGGTTCTGCAATGTACTGTAAAGGATACGCAACTAACTTTATCTTAAATAGCTCAAACTGTTTTATCGTGTAGTTATTATGTTTTCGCCTTAGTGGCCTTCGATTTCTTTATTGACAAGCCATAAAGTCGCGGTTCTTAACATATCGGTCGCGATCTTTTTCTTTTTGGTCTAACGACCCTTTCATAGGGGTCGCCAAAGACCCTCACAAAACAGAAATTCATTGAAGTTATGCAGTAGCGACGAAATTAATTGTATGGTCGGGGGTCGCCACAACATAAAGAACTGCATTAAAGGTCAGAATATGAGGAGCTGTATTAAGGGGTCGCCAGAATATGAGGAGCTGTATTGAAGGGTCGCCACAACACGAGGAGCTGTATTAAAGGGTCGCCAGAATATGAGGAGCTGTATTGAAGGGTCGCCACAACACGAGAAGCTGTATTAA